GTGAAAAGGAACAAAAGTTATTGGTGTTTTAAACTGCAGTGAGTTGTATGTTTCAGTAAGTTTTTGGAGTTTTGCAGAAATGTAGAGGCACGTTTTTCCAGTGAGCCTGTGCTGCGATTACAGCGAAGGAGTGCTATAGCTTTTAAGCTTTAAAATTGACACAAATCATCATAAAAGTAGCATGAATGTGCTTCTTATGGCTCATGCGGTATGTTCCATGTCTGTATAATCCAAGCTGTCGCATGTCAACATTCATTGTAATTGCATGACATGCAGTGGTCAGTACAGTTCTCAAAATGTTAATGATTTTTGGGTGAACCGGTCCCTCCATGTTTAGGCAGGAAGTGAAAGGAGCAGAATGTTCTAGTTTCTGTATGCTGACAGTGCAGTGTTGAAGGGTTAGCAGTGATGGCTGTGCTCTGTCTGATACGACGCTCCCCTCTCCACTCATCATTACCACCATCATTAATGTCTTTCCTCATTTCACATGGTGCAGGCGCGTCCTCACCGCCTCGCTCCTTCTGCAGATCAGCAGGGAATGATGATGCTCCGGCTCTCTTGAGTAGTTTATACTGCAGTTACAGTAGGAGGCAGAGCTTTAAAAAGAACCTTTGAAGTTGCTATCCAACACTAGACCTCCAACTCAATGTATCACCAAACCCAACTGCCCTTCTCAACATAATGATCATGTCAGTTACACATCCATATTATGTTCGTCTTATATGGGCAACATTGTCATTAGTAGCAGGTACATATACTGTAAGCTTGACATCAGCAAAGCTGGCTTAAGTCCACTGGTGAACGACAGTGCTAATATTGAGAAACTAGGTTCAAATTAAATCTTCAAGCTACAAGCAACTCATCTACAACCAAGCTACGGTTTTGAAAAAAAGCTACACTAACATTGAAGCTATTATGTATACACAGCTGATGATTTCTCAAATTTATTCTTTTGTATCTTATTCAGTTTTATTAATTCATTCATTTAGCAGAAAGCAATTTACAGTGCATTCAGGCTATACATTTTGTTTTACCAGTATGTGTGTTCCCTGGGAATCGAACCCATGACCTTTTGCACTGCTAACACAATGCTCTACCACTGAGCCACAGGAGCACTGTGGTTATTTATATTACTGTTAGTACTGTTAACACCAGCATTATTATTATTATTAAAATGCATGAACAAACCACTTGACTATGAATTGCAGAAATTGTAGGCAAGCACACTTGATATTGCCTTGTTTTGCTTGGCTGTAAAACTGTAAAACTAGCATTGTGTAATGTTAAAGCACTACTCACTGGAAAATGTAGCTTGTTACTTTGAGATACAGTCACATTCACATTACTGACAAATACAGTTAAAAGAGTGGTGTTGCCCAACACTGAAAAGTGCACAGACTTCATAGAGTGTGTTTAAACTAAAAATTACATCTTCCTGTTAATTTACAACAATTAAATGGGTCTCATTAAATAATTACAGGTCTACATTAATAATGAAAATGTCTGCACTTCCTCAGATTGCTCTAGCTTGTCAATTATTATATTACTCATTTGAGGATGGCTTAGGAAAGAGCAGATACTGAGAAAGAGATACTGGTCAAAGAGAGGACCCGAAAAGCACAGAGTGCTCCGATAGACCTTAGTCAGGCTAGCACCATATTTAATTTTTGAAAGGAACGAAAAAAAGGCTTTGAAGGACAGAGGTACAGTGTGTTCAGCTGACAAAACATCCTTCCAAAGAACTTTCAGTACACAAAATCTCTATGAAACTGTTTTGAAAATCAGATGTGATCAAGTCTATCTCTCACAGCCATTTTTTTCATCTGTGCACAATTCAATGCTGTCGATCCTGCAAAGCTCTGTAGTTGGAAGGATGCTACTAAATGGTTGATTTTGCCTCATAGTTGTTAGGCTAATAGTTGTATGTTCTGTTTCAAAGGATCTGTGCACTAATCAGTTAAAATACGTTCAAAAGAACTTGTGTACATAAAGCATTCAGAGATTTGAAATTGATAATTGATAGCTAATAAAGAGCTCTTGATAATGAAAGTTCAAAATTGAAAAATGCTGTTTTTAAAGACTTTAATGCTAATTTGAGAACTCGTGTAAATATCCATCTGTCAGTCATTGATTCCAAAAAGCTTACAAAGTAAAAGGTGAGTCAGGAGCATGAAATATTGTAGGAAATAGTGATAGTATACACTTCCAACAATTGCTGAAGCAGAATTAATTCAACCAAAGTCAAGGGCCAAGAGCCCACATCACCATAATAGTGACTTCAAACAGACCATACGAAAGAAATAAAGCCAAAATGGTTTAGAATAACTGAACATTGTGATGATGTTTTTGGAGATGTTTAAGCATGCTCTGGTGAGATATCATTGATTTAATTTGCAGTTGATTTCATGTAAGGCTGTGAGTCAGCTGTAGTTGTGCTGTCTGCTCGTCTCTACTCTTTTGTTCTGTTCTTGCTGTTCCTCTTATCTTCAGTGATTCTGCTCGTTAGCTGCAGGTGTCATCACTAATGGTCAATCTTCTAAAAAGAATCGACCGTATGTCACTAACTGCAACACTGCTTCAGTGTTACTTTTACTCTATGGAGTGGGACCATATGAAAACTAAGCAGTGTTTAACACTGTGGGTTACATGCAACCTGCATCATGCGTTTTTCTTATAACAATTTCATATTCAGGTTCGTGTTCAGTCATAGATTGTCGCATTAGAAGCTGTTTGCATGTGGGATTCTCAAGCACAGCGTGGAAGAATCTTCCTGTACTGTATATTATTCCAAATAAGGGAAATAAAACAGTCCTGATAAGACAACTTACGGTTCATAGGCACGTCTCTAGTGACACTCCACACGATGGTTTGAAATTTCTTGTTTAGATGACTTCCTAAAGGTCTGAAGTTTCAACTTGTAACTTGTTTTGTGCCATGTTTACATTTTGAACGCTTCATTTGTCTCTGTCAGTCTTTTTCTTTACTTTCATAAATCAAAACGTAATTACACTCGGAGTGCAGGTGCTCTTTGGGATGGTTTGTCACCTCATTTACAGTGATAGCATCTTATGGTGATAGTGATATCTTCCTGAAAGCATTGTTGAAATATTGCACATGTAGTTGTAGTCCTGTTGGATAGTCTGTTCAAATTATGCACAGTGTTGTTTCACAGTGATGATGTGAGAGGATCTGTCACAGCATCCAGATAGAAGCAGCTGCACATGTATTATTACCTGCAGTAACCTTCTGGAGGACTTCATTTTGCCTCCCTGAGAGCCGTTACGTTAACCATCATTGGCACAGCTGGTGGAGCTGGTGTTGGCAACAGCAGTGGTTATTGATCAGTCCTGAAGGCCCATGGAAAGCAGGCCCGTCCCAGATTATACAGGGCCATTTGTTCCCACCATGATTTCAGTGAGAAACATGTCTTGCTTGGCAAAATCACAGTCCACTGATTCTGACAGATTTGTCAGCATGGCAAGGCTTTACTAATAAATGTTTGGACAGAAATGATACATTCATAGAGGTGCTGTGTCGTGACTGATGCGATGAGCCATTCACTCTTAAACACATCTAGCTGGAGTCTGGAAATACAGGCAGAGTGTTCTGACAAACAGTTAATTTTATGTTAATTTGTTTCTGACAAAGAGATTCTCAGAGAAAAATGCAAATGTTTCTCTTTAGAAATGGTATTGATTGTCTGTCCCAGCTGTTAAGTCTTTCAGATAGATTGAGTCAATAATTGTATGTCTCCTGGTGAATTATGGCTGGGTCAGGTTGGTTTAGGTTGTGTTAGCTTTCCACACCAACTATATGTAGCAGGTATACAGCTGGTTTGAGCAGTGCTGGGAAACTATTTTATAAACTGTATAAACTATATTTACTGTAATTATATACTTTGAAACTGTCTAAACTGTACATAAAGATACTTCATGCTTTTCTGAAAAAGCAGTACAAGTTACTAACCAAAAGAAGCAAATTACATGGAAGCGATTAAAGAGCTATCAAATACATTAATCTTCATATACAAGATGATACTTTTCAATTGTGCAGTTAGAGCATTCATTAAAACATATCAATCCGGGTGACATTACACTGAATTTTGTTTCATGAAAACAAGACAGAGGGGCTGAACTCATTTATTTAGAAGAGCACATATGATCATATAGCCTCAGCGCACTCTGTGGTAAAGCTGTCGGCAAAACATGATTCAAAATGCAGTGATGTAGTGTTTTGTCATGCTACACCGTTTTTAAGGTGGAAACAGTAGCTTGTTACTGGAAAAGTGACACTATTTTGAAAACCACTGAGCTACTGTTACACTGCTAAAAAATGTAGCAAGTAACGTCACTACCTTCAGATCATTACTCCCCAGCAATGCTTATAAATGCTGCAGTTTGCAGTGCACTTAACAACTATTTGTGACTTTGTGTGATTTCACATACCAAAAGTGATAAATGTGAGAACTGCCCTACAGGATGTAGCAGCACTAGTTAGCTGGTATTCAGATGGTGCTCTATGCAGCACAAATGCATTTGCATGGATGAATTATATAATCCTTTACCATCGCTAGCTCCCCTCCAGCTAACCTTGCTGCAGTGTGGGATGCATTGCCCGGATTTCTTCATAGCGTCAAGCCCTTTGATGCGCTCTGCAGTCTCGTTCAGTTCACACGAGCAGTGTAAACACTCACATGTCCCTTCAGTATTTACATGGCTCTGTATTTAGTCAGAGAGCAATCAAAGCGCAGCATGCAGCAGCTATGCATGTGACAGTGCTGCCATATGACGAGGAGAATCACAGGAATAGATAGACAACCCCACCTCTGTGTGCAAGTGAAACGCAGTTGACGACACAATGCCGCGTGCCGTGCTTTCCTAGTGCCTCTCACTTTTGTGCTGCTCGCACCTATGAGAAACACTCATGCTTATCTCTCCTCTCTCTCTCTCTCTCTCTCTCTCTCGCTCCCTCTTCCTCTGTGTCTCTCTCTGTCTCTGAAGGAGTGATGGAGCGGATCACCATGTAGACAGCAGCCGACGGGAAGCAGGTAGAATGGGAAACCACATATGGAGAGCCGCCGGTCTGCAGCCGTGGTGAGCGTAGACGTCCTCAGGACCTCAGCCGGGATCTCGCGGATGGCTGTCGCGTCCCCGCTCGAGTAACGCAGAGGAGCCTCTCTTCAACTGCAGACAGCGGACAGGATCAGTTTTTTTTCTTCATCCTCCCTCTCTTACCTTCTATTCTCTCCTGCATTGCTCTCGTTTTTTTTAGACACCTGTTCTCCAGCCGCACCAGGGACTCCTTCTCTGCCCGTGTGGCATTTTCTCCATTTCTCTCATCCGCTTTCAAGAAAAGCTACCAAGCAATACTCAGCCACCATGGGGGACATGACAAATAGAGATTTTTACACCAAGAACCAAAGCAACGACAGCAACCATGCAGGGGGATTTGGATGCTCGCTCATGGAGCTGCGTTCCCTCATGGAGCTCAGAGGAACGGAGGCAGTGGTCAAAATTCAGGAGGACTATGGAGGTGTCGAGGGACTGTGCCAGAGGCTGAAAACCTCGCCGACAGAGGGTGAGTGTGTGCTGTCTTATGCCGTCACACGCGCTAAACACAATTGCACTGCATAAGCTCGCACTCATACAGTGACACTCTTTCAAATGATAATCATTTCCATTCCTGTATGCTGTTCTTCCCCCTTAAACATGCTGCTGATGCTGGTTGGCTGTCTTGCGGAATTATTAACTAGGATGTGTCTCCCAGGCAACAGCGCAGGGGTCAAACTAAATTTGCTACTTTGTACAATGATAGCATTGCTGGGTAGAAGAAGCCATGCATATATACAATTTTAATTACAAATAACCTCTCTGCAATGAATGCAGGATCCGTTCTCGAGCATTTTCTTGCATTGAAAATCAGTCGCATGACCTTTAGAGCAGAAAGGAGCTTGCGAGCATCCATTGGAAAAATGGTGTGATTGGCATCTTCATTGTGTCATGATTTGTCATGGTCTGACAGTGGTGTGACTGTGCTATCCAACGCATGCACCATTTGATCTTCTCCTGTTAGATGCGTCGTCATTTAAAACAGCTGTGTGTGATATAGGTGTAGGAGTAGATAGCTTGTTATGAATGTAATGTATTTCCAATATGCAACCATATTGTGAATTCAAATGCCTTTTGTTTTAGATTAAAACAAAATGACAATCCATATAAACTGGCTTGCAGTAAATGTGTTACCCACGACAGCACTAGATTGATAGATCTGTCAGCCTGGACGACAGCATAATCTTGCCTTCTCTGCAAACTATGTGTTTGGTATGAGTGTTAGGAACATGTTTAGGAGCATGCTGTTGCTCTGCTCTGCTGGAGTGACTTGTGCTGACACCCCAAGTGTGACATGATAATGAAGACAAATGGTCACATCTAGTCTTGTTAATAAGCTGAGCAGTTGTGCCTTCTCTCTCAGGACGCAGTCACCACTACCCAGCAATGACCATACACCATCTTCTAAGATTCTTTCTTCCATTTTTCACTAGTTCAGCCCATTTTAAGTCATCCTATGAGGCACCATCAAAAGAAAGATGTTTTAGAAGGCACAGACAATGTTTAGCAGCTTGAACTACTCAGACATACTGTCTGCATATCTAAAAATGGCATATCTTCATCTTTATAGTGAACCAGAGGAAGCTTAAAGGCAAGAATTTGTTAAAACCTTTAATAGGGTCTACTTGTGTGCCAGTTTTATGACTTCTACCAACTACCCATGCATTACCTAAACAAAACAATCCAAACTGTTCAGTGAACAAGAATGGCATGCCGTGTTAGAGAAAGCAGGACATGCCAGTTAACCAGGTCCCCACCAACCGATCTACCAGCCCTAACAATGTTGACATCGGCCCCTTCGTTTGGTAATTCTTCTGATCATCCCTCAGGACCAGCTTGAACCAAATTATGTCCAGCTTTGACCAACTGGGAGCCATGTAACAGCAGCTAGTTGTAGCTGGATTTTCCCACAGGGCGGGAGGCGTCCAAACACTGAACACGCTCCATACACTAATGTGTAACTTTATCCCTCGGGCTCTTCAGTCAATACTTGTGCCTTTAATCTATATTTACCTTACTCATACTACAATCAATGATGAAGCAGGGCTGATGGTCAGTTCATCTCTACTGAATAAAGAAATTGCTCTGTAAGGACAACACAAGTCTCCCTGGATCCTCCTGGATGCTACAGTACATTATGTGGGTAGTATTGAGCCGCTAGAGCGCCCACTTTTCTCAAAGTTGTGGGTGTTGGCCACTCTTACACAGAGAGTTCCTGGCAGATGGGAGCTGAGCGAGAGATGGAGGAGCCTGGCGACCTCCCAAAAAAGAGAAAGCATCTCCTGTAAGTCAGCTTGCTTCAGATAATGCTGCCGCTAGTGCCTGTAGTCAGGACAAATGCCACACACCATCTGAAAGCCTGCAGCTTGAGGTACAGTTAATGAGAATTAATAAGAGCCAGGGAAATCTATGAAGGACGGGGGAAGAGTTCCTATTTTTACACAGTACAATGAGCAGGCCCGAATGACTACGTCCATGTGTTCAGACGGTATGAAAGGCAATTCTGTTGTCGCTGCAACCACAGTAAACTATTTGCCGTAGAGGTGGGCTAGGGTATGACAATGCCAAGCAGCTATTGTATGCTAATGGTCTCAGTGTGCTGTGCCCTAGGACCAGCTGCAAGCTGGCCAGAAGTGTCTGTTCGCTCACCGTGACTGTGCTCCCCCATGCCTTCCTCTGTTCTCATTTATATTTCAGTCTGATGGCCCAGCTCACTACGACGCAGTGCACATCCTAACCCGAATTAGCATGTTTAAAAGTAACCAACACTTAGACTGTCTCGCTAATCTCTCCACTCATGTTTCGTACGTCCTGATGTGTCTCCTGACTAATTCATAATGAAATGAGAGGTAAAATATCTCCTGAGCCTGGCCCAGTGCAACTGAGATGTATTAAAGGCACAGATGTGAGAATTTTAACCTTGACGCTCAATAGCGCTCTCGCATTTAACACAAATGTTTCTGCTGCTGGGGAGAAAATGCGAAATGCAGCTAATAGCCAATCTTTACAGCAATTAAAATGGAAAGAAACAGAAGGGCTGTGAATATCGTAAGTGAGGCACTCCATGTAATCCGATGCCGCATTTAAACCATAAGAGGCACTGAAGGTCAAAGCAAGCTGGCAAAACACCCCAGAGCCAAGCTGCAAACACAACATAACTGCAGCTCGCACAATGATCATCAGTGGGCCAGCTCCGCTTATCAGAGCCACCATTTCGCCTGACCGATCCCTGGCAACACTTTGACATTGCGCTGAAGGACCCGGTTCTGGAGCAGTGACAACGGCTGTTGGCTACCGGATCACATGGCTACTTAAACACTGTCCCACCTTAGCAAGGCTGTGCCCTCCTCCCATGCCCTTGATCGGCATGCTAATCTAGTCTGCCGGTCCGCATTCTCATTCCCCTCTGACAAACCTACTTAATCTAGGGTCCCAGCAGGAATTGTTCAGAAGAAGTACAATCTCCTCTAATAAGGACAGTAGTGCTGCCCTGATTCCAGCAGCCATTCTTAAAAGGAGAAAGCACTTCCCTCAGAGGACAGATTATAAATAAGAGACCAGGCCACATTTCTCCTCTTCCAAGAGACAGATGCTCCTGAATGGATGACCTTGGAGGGTAGTTTGAGTCGGTGATGTTGGCACAGAAAAGTAGGTAACGTATGTAACATGATCAGGGGCTTAAGAGTGTTCTAAAAAAGGGGTGGGGACACATCGTAAACCTTATTAGCCTGGCTCATGAATATTTAGTAGTAACGTCAATCAGTAGTTTTAAGTCATTTGCTGAAATACAGCAAGTGCTAGGCGTGTTAGTATTACTGATTACTGTTCACGCATTAATTTGTTTGATCGACTCCTGATGCAACTGGTTGGAGTTGACTTAAAGCTGATCTTAAAGAGTGAATTTGCCAATTTTATATGTAAACTAATAATGTGTACTCTTTCTTCGTGCTGCCTGCACCGAAATATCCCCGGTTAATTGTCAGTCCAATCTGTAGTTTTCACAAAGTGAAAATACATATCTTATTGTGAAAATACATATTGTACCCCTGCATTTTTCTCAGTTTTCTCTAGTCGTATAGCACTAAAACCGTCAAAAAAAATAAAAAATGCATTGACAGCCAAGTTTTATCCATCTTGCCAGCAGTGAATTACCCCTTTAAAGCTGCTGCTTTATGTGGCCAGCAACGTTTTTCTCTTTGCACTGAAGCCACACAAAACAAAGCTCTTAAATTATAATGATTATTGCCCAGAAAATGTATCGAAATGAACATAAGAATTTATAAAAAGTTGGGACATGGTCGAGGGATCCCTGAATGATACACACAAACCTCCTGGGCTCAGTCAATGTGTGTTTAGGGTCATGCAAATGGACGGTTCTTTGTCAGACATGTGCTTGAAGGGGTCGGGCTGCTCTCAGTGGCACTGGCAATGGGCAGGTGTGCTTCCACTCGTGAAACGTGACAGCTGACTCTCTGGATCGGTCAGTGCATCACACATTGGGCCTCCCCATCCGTCATGTATGATGTCTGCCTAACACCATTAACCAGAGCCAAGTCACTTGCTGATGTGTTGCTTTTTCATTTTGTCACTGTCTTGCTTGCCCTCTTGACCTCTACATCTATGTTTGCACCTGTGTGCACGTCCTGTGGCATGTGGCGTTGATGCTGTGTCATCCATTCCCCGTCGCAACATTGAGCTTCGGTGTTGGCACATTTCAGCAAAGTGAGAGATGTAGATGAGCACATTCTTATTTTCCAGGACAAAGTATCTTAACATCTTTCAAACAAAAGAACATTTCTTGACAAGCAAAAGACAGTTTGTCATAGGGGTAAGAATATATTCTCTGAAAACAGGTCCTAGTATTTCACCCAGTTTTGCTTGTCAATTAAAGCTCAGTTTTAGGACTTTTGGACATTTCAACAGAAAACAAGACAAATACTGATGATGCAGATGAGGAAAGTGATTTTTTCCCCATTTGCAGTCACACAAACATCATCATAGTGTGTAATATGCACATCACTGAATGTGTCATGACAAACGCAATGTTACAATCTGAGTTGGTGTGATTGTGCTTGTCTTGTTACATCGTTCGCTCTGTATAATAGTAAGATATCAGATCAGATATCAGACTCAGACTAGTGAACTTTACTGTTTGACATCAAGTGTGGTAAAAATAGACAATATCCTTTAATTTAATTAATACACTTTGTTTTTAACCTAAAAATGTTTTTAAAATGTTAAAACTTTTAGGTTACTATTTTTGTCAACATCAAATTAGACACAATTTACTTTCCAATTGGAGAAATAATTTAGAACTGAGCATAAAAAAAAAAATCAACTTTAGAGTTTCATGACCTTATGAAAATGTATTTTACCTTTCATTACTTTTTCCAAGCCTGGAAAAAAAAAAATAAAAATCACTGATGTTTCATCACAATGTATTAGGCTCTGCCTCTCGGTAGTGTCTCA